TAAAATTGCAATGGGTATGAGAAGTGCTTCTCAATTTACCCGAGATTTCATTCGGGATTCAGGTGTTGTCTCACTTATTGAAACCTTGCTCAATTATCCGTCCTCCCGAGTTAGGACAAGTTTTTTGGAAAATATGATTCACATGGCTCCACCTTATCCAAATTTAAACATGATCGAGACATTCGTATGTCAAGTGTGTGAGGAAACCCTTGCTCATAGCGTGGGTTCCCCTGAGCAGCTGCTTGGATTAAGGATGCTTAGACACCTCACTTCAACTACTGACTATCACACACTGGTTGCCAATTATGTGTCTGGGTTTCTCTCCTTATTAACCACAGGCAACGCAAGAACCAAGTTTCACGTTCTGAAAATGCTCTTGAATTTGTCTGGAAATGCTCTAGTGGCAAAAAAACTGTTCAGTGCCAAAGCTCTATCAATATTTGTGGGTCTCTTTAACATAGAAGAGACAAATGAAAATATTCAAATTGTTATTAAAATGTTTCAGAATATCAGTAATATTATAAAAAATGGAACAATGGCTTTAATTGATGATGATTTCAGTCTTGAGCCACTTATTTCTGCATTCCATGAATTTGAGAAGTTAGCTAAGGAACTACAAGTCCAAATAGACAATCAAAATGATCCTGAGGTGGGACAACAAAGCTAATATGATTAACCACCTGCCTCTCATCAGCCTTATGTTCCCAAAGAACCCTGAGTAGTGCTTTGGTCTTCACTGTCTGGTTTTATGTGTAACATATTTTTAATTCTGATGTTAACTTTGTCCAATTCTTGCTTTGAGCTGGATTATTTTGTGGATGCCAAATGAATATTAGAGCTGAAAACACATTTGTTGATATTTGTCTTACTGTCCAGATTGCAGTATTTTTTCAGTATTGAGCTTCCAATGAATTGAGTCACCTGTGTAAGCTACCCTGCTATTTGTTGTTTAAACATATGGTTCTCTATTCAAGTCTGTGTTTTCAATAAAGTTCTATGTGAAAATTGGCAGAAGTGACATTTCTTCAGTTTAAAATACAGGTGCAGATACATTGCATACTTAACAAACATAGATAATGAGTAATATGAAAAACATACCCTCATTGGAAAACTCCATTCCCGAAGCTTAAGGAGGAAGAGATTACTGTGGTCTACAGTATGTGAAGAATGCTTCAGCGAAGAAAGACCCACTTAAATTGGTCACTGAAGGGTAAGATAAGACAAACCATTAGGTCATTCTTGGAGGTGAACAATGGTGGTGTGAAGAAAAGGGTGTAATTGGAAAATCTGTTCTAGTAGTATGGATGTACCCTGTCTGCCTGAAATAGGTGAGACAAGTTGAGTGAGGGATACAGTTGGAATGAGGCGAGTTTGGAGATCCAAGTCGGCCAAATCTGCACCTTTTACTACTCATAGTATGTGTGTTGTTTCAGTGCCACTTAAAGAGTGAAAGAGTAGAATAGCACACCGGTTAAATGGAGTCAGGAATAAGGTTTCCTTTGTGATCCTAGTTCAAGGAAATACCATGCAGCTATTAAAAATGATATATTTATTGGCATGAAATTACCCTGATGCCTTTATATTTGATGAAATAGAGAAGAATGTGACATCATCTATGGAAAACTAGACCCCATTTTAGAAATTTATGTGTAAATAGACACAATTTCTATGCAATTACAATATGACTTTCTAAGACACTTCATATTCCATAGTCTTGAATAAAATATACCATGCTAAAAAAATTTTCAGCGACAGGCATTTGGGGATATATAAAAGTTGACATGATTTTTCTTTTAATATGCTTACATCTAGTGGCTCAAGTTATAGATGGACATGTTGGAGAGGATACAGTTATATAAATAAAGTGTTAAAAAGAATTTTTAGAGAGAAAATCATTTAGAAAAGTTGGAAAGGAATAAGACTTCTGCAAGACTAGCTTTTTAGATAAAAGGTTTTAATGAAAAATAAAATTGCCATAGTTGCTAAGTTTTCTATTAGTCTTGATTGTACAAAGATGTCAACTTTTTTACATAACTATTACATTTAAAAAAACATTTCCCTTTGGAGTGACAACAAAGTTCTGGAAGTAGATAGTGGCGATGGTTGTACAACATTGCAAATTTACTTAATGCCACTGTACACTTTAAAATGGTTAAAATGGTAAGTTTTATGTGTATTTTCCACAATAATAAGTAAAAAGATCATACCATAGCTTCAGACAGAAGAATTGCAGAAGTCAAAGATAGAGTTGGTTTGGGGAGGGAATCAAGACTTGTGGGAAATATGTGTTTTATTATATTTAGACATGGTGAAAATGTTATTTCTGTTTTGTCTGAGGATGCTGTTAATTTTTGAAAAGATAAAATTATGACTCGTAAATTAGAAATGAATATGTGAAAGATTTTTTTCAATACAATTAATGAACAACTAAGATTATAAAAATGAAGGAGATATGTGTATACAATATACACAATATAATAGACAAAATATGTATATTAAATTTCATACACACGTAGAAAATAAATATTAGGATAACATTGCTGGGTTAAATACAAAACTGGTTAATATCTTAAGGGCAATAAATTGTAGCCATTGTTATCTGTTCTGCAGTACATGAATCATTTCCATATCTATTGGACAAAATATCTACAAGTTAACATCAGCATCTCAGGGTTGAAAACTTGTTCGATCAATGGAAAGGGAAGCCCAGCACTGCACTGAAATAATATCCAATAACCCTTGTTGTCTTTTCCCAGGTTTTGTATAATTTTTCTGTCAGTGCAACATGCTCTATTTTCCTACCCGATTCTAGTACTCAAGGTTTATGAAATAGGACAAAAGTGACAGTTTTGCCTCCTCTTCTCACAAACAGCAAGTGTTAACAGGGATCATTGTGGTGGTAGAAATCGGAGTTTGAATGTTTTTCCTATCGATATTTTTCAAGACAGAGCCTGTGTGTGTGTTTTAAAATGTCGCCCAAGTTTATACAGATCTAAGTCAGTTCGTCTCCAAACTCCTCATGGAGTGTTCCTGGCCAGCCCTGTGCTCCTGCAGAGCAAGGCCTAGGCCTAGCACTGGAAGCTTTGGCTCCAAATCCAGCCTTCCTTCCCGCTCTCTGTCTTCACCACGGTCAGGAGCTTCAGGTTCTTCTAGCAAGCAGCTCAACCTCAGAGGCAGAAGATTCTGCTCTCCGTGCTGCCAGGCTGCAGCGCACAAGCTGAGCGCTCAGTCATGTGGGGCTGACGGTCGGTCACGTGACCACGCGCTCACTTGGGCAGGCATAGAGGTGTGTTGGCTCGGAAAAGGGAGAGGAAGGACACACACTTGCCGATTGACAGACTGCTCTGGGAGGAGTGGTGGGATGTTGCGGTGGGTGGTGCGTGCCTCTATGCTGCACCCGCCTGAAAACTAATCTCTCAGGTGACCAGAATGACAGCATTTGTTGGTAGAGGAAACAATCCCTCTTCCAGACAGTGGGGATGGCCAAGCTCCATATTGTGGGCGAGTTGGGGGTGGGGAGGTGTTGAGAGGGGAACAAGACTGACTTTTACTCCAGGGCCCCAGCTGCCTGGAGATGCACGAGAGGAATGAACCTCAGTCTGGCCAGCTGTAGGGAAGGAAAGAGGCAACAGACTCAGGAGGAGGGAACCTAGATGCCTTGGGCCCCTCACATAGGATTTCTCACTGGATACTGGGAAGCTTCTCAACCCCCAAGAGGATTCTTGGATCTTATCCCAGGCAGCAGTTCCCTTCCATCTAGGAACACAAAAGTTGCTACTCCTTCTGAGGCTCCCTCCCCCTGCTGTCCTAGCCCTCAGAGGAAGGTCTTTCTGGGAACCACCTACAGAAACTGCTTTATGGATTGTTTCACATATTCCCCTCTCCAGACACTTGCTCTCTTCCTTGTGTTTTGCTCTCTGTCCACTTCTTAAAGACTTGTTCCTTTGCTCTTGTTGGGGCAGGGAAAATCCCCTTGCTACCTTTCTTGTGTTCTTATGGCTGAACTAATAATAAAATTGACACAAGACCAGATTAACAGGAGAAAACCCCAGTTTAATAAGTATATATTAGAGATCATAGAAAAATGATGCTTGGAGAGTGAACAAAGCAGGCAGTATATGTATCTTTTACACAAAGAAACAATAAATTTGTGAGGAATGACAGGACAAAGAAACTTAGATTTTGAGGTATGCAGTTAGTGAGGAATTTAAGCAGAGTTTAGGTTTGAGGTAGTTGTCGATGCATATAATCCATAACCAATCTATAAATCAAAATTGGGGTGAGTTTATTATGAGCCTAATTTGAGGACCATGTAGCCCAGGAGAGTCCTTTCGCAAAGGAATGGAGCACTCCAAAGAAGTGGGGGTGTATAGAGTGGTTATATACTGTCAAAGAGCATGTATCACATATGATTGCAATGTCCCTTTTACAATAGTCACGAGACACAGTGATTGATGGACACAGCAGGTAGCAGGTCTGTTGTCTTAAGCTTGGTGGTCACAGGATGAGTGCAGCAATCAAATCGTAGGCTAGGGAGAAATGTTTATCCTTAAGGAAATGCCAATGTGTGGGAAGTTGCATCCTTATCTTAAGGGCATTTGTTCTTGTCTTTGGGAAATGGTAGATGCTTAAAGCAGATATATAATGCATGTTCAAAGGCCACATCAGGCCCTTTTGGAAAAACAAGGTTAGGCCGAATTAGTTTTACACCAAATGGCTTCCTCATATACTCCAATATCCTATCGCTTGCCATTTATTTATCATAGTAAATTTGCAAGGTTTGTTTATGCAGACTTCTCAGCCCTGAATTCCCTAGCTCTGGTGATAAGGATGCAGGGAGAGCACCTTTCACGTGGGAGATTTATTTCCCGCTTTCAGGGGGAACAGAGACAGGAAGGTCAGAATGCTCTTTTTGCTTCTCAAGTATCTTTAATTCAAAATAATCATATGCTATTGTGGGATATTTTGGGGTGGCCTGCCCTGGGCCTGAACAGTCTCATCCTAGGTGGCAGCCCTTGGTATGTCCTTGTTCTCTTTCTAACTGAAAATTCCTCCCTGATGCATCCACTGGATACCAAGGCAGTTTAGCAAAGTGTCACTAAGAAATAAGAATTTTTCTAAGCCCACTAATGTCCTTATTTTTATACTCAGTATAGAGTTGAAACTATGCTGAAATACTACTTTAGGCCCTCCTGTTTCCATTTAAAAGCTAGGATTGAGCAGTGGGCAAATTACAGAGATTGAAGCCTAGGACTGCCTCTTCCTCTCTTACCCCTTGCCTATTATTATCCTCTTCCCTTCATGCTCTAGAATTCTGGTAATATAAGTATTGGGACCAATGTTCAGGTTATGGCCTTTCCCCTCAAGCTCTGTTGTCTCTTGTCTGTGTCTTTTTTAGAGTTTGACAAAAGAGAATACCTCAAACATGGTGTGGTATAAGAAAAAATATATCTAATCTTTGTCCCAGTTTCCTGGCAGGAAGCTTCAAAAAGCCTTGGAATTTCTTGAGTGATAGGAGTGTCTTTGTTATGCTAATGAGCTGACTTATGGTGGGCCCTGGGATGGATAGCTTCAGGATGTGGGCTGGTCACCAGAAAGACTAACCATGTGATTAGAGTTGGAACTTTAGGCCAACCCCCAACTCCAGAGAGGGGAGGAGGGCTGGATTTTGGGTTCAATCACATGGCCAATGATTTACTCAATCATGCCTAGGTAATGAAACTCCAGTGAAAACTCAGGGCTCAGTGGAGCTTCCTGGTTGATAAATACACTGATAGCCAGGGAGGGTGATGTGTCCTGAATCCATGGGAAGAGGTCATGTAAGCTGTGTGTCTAAGACCCTTCCAGACTTTCTTCTATATATATCCTTTATAATAAAACTATAATCCTAAGTATAGCACTTTTAGTGAGTTCTGTGAGTTCTTCTAGTAAATTCTCAAACCTGAGGGTGTCATGGGAACCCCTGAATTTATAACTCTTCTGTCAGAAGTATGGGTGGCCCCCCAAGACTTGTAACTGGCATCTGATCTGAAGTGGGGGCAGTATCATTGGGAACTGCACTCTTAAACCTGTGGAGTGTGATGCTTA